CGTCCTTGTCCGAGAGAGAATCCAGTACAATCGTTGGATAAAACAGACTACAAGCTCATATCTCCCAGAGGCGCGACAGAATTACTAATGAAGAAGACCGAAGAAGGATCCTTCGGATATAAATTCGGTGTAGTCAAGGCTCGCCAGGTACAAAAAAAAAATCAGAAGGTGACGCACAAGGTCCATCACCCACCAGTGAAAGCAGTAATCAACATCAGCCAATATCAGCTGAGTGCCTCTGAAGAGTCAGTATTAAATAAGGGTCTCAACTTCGTTACAACCATCAAATGAGTACCATACTTGGACATCATTGCCAGAATCGAGGAAGTGGCCCCCATCCTATCCAACCAGATGGTGAGCTTGGACGTGGTGAGTTTGTTCACCAAGGTACCCACGGAGGAGGCACTCTCAGTAGTCAGAGACAGATTGGCCTCTGACTCATCCTTACAAGAACTGACCAGTATTCCAATAGATAATAAACACACTTCGGAATGGAATCACATATATATCGACAGGTTGAGGGCTTAGCAATGGGCTCGCTATTATCACCAACAATGGCGAATATATACATGGAATACTTTCAGGAAATGGTATTAGAATCTATTTCTCTAAAGCCAACTCTATGGTTAAGATACGTAGATGACACCTTCATACTCTGGTCACACTAGGAAGATGTCCAGGTTCTACTGGACCATGTGAACTCAATAAGACCTTCGATACAGTTCACAATGGAGTAAGAGAGTAACAAGAACACACTCCCATTCCTGGATGTTCTAATATCTCGAACAGAGCATCCGTATGCCATAAACCGACATTCACCGGACAGTATCTCAATTTCAACTCCCACCATCCATACAACGTAAAGAAAGGGATCGTCCGCTGTTTACAGCACCAAGCAAAAGTCATAAGTGGCGACCCAGAGACATTAGATAAAGAATTGGTTAGTATAAGCAGTACCCTACAACGTAACAACTACTCTGGGTACATGGCAGCAACCCCAATAAACTGGAATAGGCGGGTACAAGAGGAGGATAACAACACTTAGAAAACAGTCTGCCTGCGTTATGTGAAGGGGTTATCGGAGAAAATACAAAGGATCTGCGGTTCATATAACATCAGGACAACCTTCAAAAGCTGGACGACACTTTGCAGATACCTCTCCCGAGTTCGACCCCTTCCCCATAGAAAAAAAAACATGGCTAAAGACCGTGTGTACACAATCCCGTGCAACTGCAGAAAGAAATATAAATGGGTGACAGGTCGCCCTCTTAAGGTAAAGTGTCAAGAACACCAAAAAGCTGTAACACGAGGGAAAGTGGAAAAATCAGGCGTGACTGACCACTTATGGAGAGTAAAGGGAGATCACCGCCCTCTGTGGGATAATGCTGAAATCAAAGGGAAAGATCATCAATGGAAAATTCGTAAACTTAAGGAATCAGCACATATGCTAGGCCACAAAAATAATGAGTGTCAGAGAAACGCAATAATAACAACGAAAATTGCAATATGAGCTCTAGTAAAAAAACATGCAATGATAACAGCAAAACTTGCAATATAATCACTGGTAAAAAATGGTGCTGAAGACATTAAGTTTATAAGTTCAAGAAATTCATACACAGATGTATTTAAGGACACATGGCACAGTGGATAAAGGCGTTGGTTAGATCCAGTGACAGGACCCAAAGAGTTGTGAGTTCAATAAGGCAGTGGAGAACTTGGAGAGGTGAATTATCAGGAGATAACTGATAACTGACATGATAACTAGAACAGTCTACCAGCGAGCGAAATAAAGGGTTCAGTTTGACATTCCAACCACCTGAAGAAGGCCGGAGCGTACAACAGCTGAAATGTTGTAATAAATATGGCGACAAAGATGAGGACAATAGTCCGAATAATGTAAATAGTGACCTAGTGTATAAAAATACGTATGCTCTTGGCACACTGAATTATTTTAAAACAAAAGTTTGCCGATGCCTGATATAGAGCATAATAGAATGAAGCAAGTATTTACTGAAGTGGTACAAGGAATCGGCCATTTTCCCAACAGATCGCATATATGAGTTCAAGTTGAGGGCGAGTTTGAGTCCCAATAGGCGTTCGCGGTAAGGGGTTTCCTTGAGAGAACAATTGTTCATCGTGATAGGCAAAAATTCAGGATTTTGTCTTTTATCCTGCTGTGTCTAGCCACTCTGAGGTAGACTGGACTCCTTAACTTTGTGTGTCTAGACACGTAGTGTAGACCAATGGTTCCCGATCGATTTTGGGCCATGCCTCACTTTGGTATTTCTAAAATTCTGGTACCCACCCCCTCCATAATGCTCACTGAATGCTCACACGCGCTGATTGGTCGACAAAAGCTGGGCTCTTCCAGCGACATGCATCACGTCCTCTCCTTTGTTGCTCTTGACACGCAAGTCTAGGGAGACGGGAAATACCCTGTATGTCAATTTCACATGTATGTACATACACAGAAAATATTTTTATGTATGCATACTGCATATGCATCGTATGTATTAACACAAATTAAAATTAACACTCTTGTAGCATCCCGCTACCACTTTCTTATAAATGTCGAATTTTATACATTTTTGTGCAAAAAAGTGGATCAGAGAGCCTACTCGGCTTAGTAAATATTTTCAGGAAATATCAGCTTCTAATTGGTCAATAAACACACAAATAGGCATTGCAACCCACCTACGTACAAATATTTTTTCCAGCGCTTGACCAAGTCAAGTTTCCCGCCATTTGCTGCGATCCTGTCATATGATTACATTATCTATAAATAGCAGACACGAGTTCGCTCATTCTCTTTTACTCTTCCAAATTCCTGCGAAGATGTGATCTTCAGGATTCTCGTCTAGACCATGGGAGGTCAGACGTTAAAAGCATATTCATGCATGCACGTATGTACGAACTTTTCCCACCTACATTACAAACATACAGAACATTTCCAAACATGCAACAAGAACTTCTTTTTGAAATATTCTTCTAAAACTACAGTTTATTCAGCATTTCTCAGCTTTATAATTAATTCAACTTTTGCGAGTTCACGCAGCCGTAAACAAACATCTGCAATTGTCCATTCTTATTACCAAGTCACTACATTATGGTGACCTCCGAGGTCTGAAACGGGGCGAGAGAAACAACTAGACCACTACATTCTCACTCAGAGTCACTAGAAAACAATTCACTGTTAATAACTCATTCTTGAATTGCCACATTAGTCTGATGGTATAGTAAGCCGAAGGGTGCACATCCTGCGCACCCTCTCCCACAAAAATATTACCATGCCCCACCGGTGGGGCATACGCCCCACTTTGAGAATCATTGGTGTAGAGTCGACTTAATGGCATCCTCCATATTTGTCAGTCACCCCTGCGGGAAAATGAACTCTTTCCCCAAATCAACTGTAACCAATCATCACTTCACTTTTCCAAACTCGACTTCCCATTAGTTAAAAGGAGACAAAAAATGTAGCAAGTTGAGACAAATCCTTTTCCCGCTCACCTATCTGGAGCCGGTTTGGATTCCAAAAAGTCAATAAATAGGATCGTTTGACTTGATTCAAGCAGTCAGGAACCCAGTCTTTGAGAGATGCCAACAAACTCCACGCGCGCCAGCACACTGACTCAACAACCACCATTCTCTCTCAGCAACTCAACACAACTCACACAGTTTTGCCGCGCGAATTAACTCAACTTACAATTCACTAGAAAAAGTGACATTATCACTACAAAGTAGCAATTGTATATTTAATCAATTTATATCATATCAGTCAAAGGTACATAACTCCTTATGACTTTAAACAATATTTACAATTGTCACACACATACACACTAATGTTTGAACCCACACAAGTGACATTTAACCTTGCAGTATTCAAACTGTTTTAATTTCAAAGACAAACTTAAACTACAAGCTTTCATGCACCAAATCACTGCATGGTCACTCCTTACAATTTTATCTCACTTGCCACATTTAACAAGCAATCATAAATTCACTTTGTCAAATGTATATAAATTCATGTTATTTGTTGAAATCTATAACTACGTTGTTTCTCCTTGATTTCATCCAATTGAATTGCCCTTAAATGTTTGCTTATTTTATTTGTTGTAGATGAATGTTTAACAAACACGCACATTTTTAAGCCTTTACACAATTTGAATTATTCTTTCTGATACACCGTAATTAGCACAAATTCCGCAACAGACTAAACTTTGACTGGTTGGGGAACCTGTTCAGCCATCTATGCAGCAAGTTTTAATTTAAAATTAGTTTATGCTGTGTGCAAACTGGGATTTTACAATTTCTAGCATTCATTTACCACTTTATTTTCTGTACTTTTAAACCATCTTTTTTTTTTTTTTTTTTTTTGTTGGAAACTGGCGATGTCACGATAAAATGCCATGTACTTAGGCATTGTGTTGACAGATGTATTCGACAGAGGAAGGTAGTCAAGGGAGTGGTCGAGTGAAAACTGTCACCATTGGCCTTTCTTGATATACTTCTTTTTTTTTTTTTATGGAAATAGTGCTTTTTTTCCACCCGCTGTCATTTAACTTCAGCTTGCCCGAGTCAAAGGTCAGTGATTAACCGATACAGAATGTCGACCATTTCTTTCTTTCTTTTTTTTTTTTTTTTTTTTTAAATAACTTCTTGTTACTGACGAGTAAACTGCAGATTTACAGTGAAAACGTAAACATGGTTAAAAACACCAAATTTCTTATTCCCAGACCTTTTCGAATCACGCTGCCCTTTAGTGTATACGGATTTTCTTTTAAAGGCGCTCGAAGTTAGAAAATACAGAGCAGAGTAATGTTTACGTTCCAAGGTTGAAGCTTTAAGTAAGCTTGATACACTGTTCTCTTAAAAATAATAACTTATCTTACCCAGAGTTATAAACTCTGGTGATAGTGTAATGAGCCCCGATAAAAAATTTAAAAAAATAAAAATAAACAAAAAAAGAAAAAAAAAGGAAAGAATTAAAAAGTTAAAATAAGGCAAATTGCTTTTCTTTAAAACTCAATTTCTCTCTCTACCTTTCTTTCTTTTCTTTCTTTCTTTCTTTCTTTCTTTCTTTCTTTCTTTCTTTCTCTCCCCCCTCTCTCTCTGTCCTTCTCTCTCTATACTTCTCTCCCAAGTAACGAAAAGGCAACCCTCAAATAAAAAGAGGAAGAAGAAAAGACTGAACCCGACCGAAAAACACCGGAAGTTTGCGGGAGCAGAGCGTATTTATTTATGACTATAAATCTAACAAAATAAGACAGACGCCATGCATAACTTCCGCTTGTAGGGTTGAGCGTACCCGGATTAAAAGGAGAATTTAATACGGGATACCTTGCCACAAAATACAACGCAAATTTCAAGAAGAAACAACACGATAAGGAACTTTTGTAGAAAATAGAACATTGTATATTTATTTTCTTGTGAATAGGGTAAAAAAAGATTAATGCTTTAGTTAGTTTAAGCAAAATGTGATTTTGACAAAAATGTCTGTTCGCTGTCTTTCAACAGAGTAGCAGTGTAATGTCTGTTTCTTTTGTTTTTGTATATGTGTAAAGGAAAAAGGGGCGATCAATTTAAGTTGAAAAAGAGAGTGTGGATGAGAAATAAAAGATAAGAGGAAAATGTACTTAGGAGTCAGTTGTAAATTTGTTGTTGTTGTTGTCCTTACCTACTCCACTTTCGGCTCTTAGTGTTGGGTTGAGTTAGTGATGGAATTTACTGTCAGTGAAGTAATCTCTGCGCCCTTCTGACTGGCGACTGACTTGAGTTTTTTTTTCACACTGGCTCGTTATCTTTTTTTTTTTTTTTTTTTTTTGGTTTAGCGAATCGCCTCCTTTCATTGGTCAGAAAATTAATTTCACACCTTATTGCGAAATCTGTTTTTGGTCGTTTTGATCCGATTTTGCGGGTGTGCAAATCTACTTTGTGTTTTTTAGTCATTTGTTGGGATGATATAGGATTTGTATCCTATACGCTATAAAAAAACGAAAAAGAAAGGAACCCCGTAAAATGAAATAATTTTGGCCCCTCAAAAAATTAACAGAAAGAGACTTTTGATTTTGGCTGAAACGAAGGTTCGAGACAGAGTCTGGAGGCCTGCTCAAAATGATACACGTTGAAAGCTCTTGTGCCTTGTACAGAGTGAAACATCAATGTAAAAAAAAAAACAAAAAACAAAAAAAACTACTATAAAAACGGACATATCTAAAAACCTTCAGTTTTCAGTTAGGTTCCATGCGTGATGTACGCTTAGGCGATCATGTATCTTTCGATACATGACTGACGAGGCATATTTTTTCCGCAGTGGGTTGCCATTTCTTTCTGCGGTAGACCAGTTGCTATCCAAGGCTATAGAACCCAGTCTGTCCTGCTATTTACAAAAAAAAAAAAAAAAAAAGGCGAAGAAGAGGGTTCATACTTTTTCTAAGAGTATTAGCGCGTAAGCGAATGCAATGGATTCGACAGGAATTCGAACTCGGCTCTCCGATTCCTCAATCCAAGCCATTATCCATTACTCCACCGTGCACCTAAAGAACAGTAACTCAATATTTTCTAAATTTTCTGAGCCATGGCGCTGTCAGCGTAGATAAAACATTTTATTATGGCAACTAAAGTCAGAAAATATTGAGCAATTATATTTTAATTCCAGCGTCCAATTAATTATCGTTATATTTCTGAAATTTCCACTTTTTTCTATATGTGTTTTTTCTTCAACTCAAACTCCTCCTCCTCCTCCTTTTCTTCTTCTTCTTCTTCTTCTTCTTCTACGCCGCGACTCTTTAAGACATGGGCGATCTTATCTCCCCGAAACTTCCTGATCCTTGTGGCACTTAGCAGTTTTTCTCCCTTTGCTAAGGTCCTCGCTCATTTCGCTATACATTCACAGAATCTCGTTTGTCAGGGTGCTCGCTGCCTTCCTCTATCTTTCTTGCCTCCAGTATTCCCTGTGAGGGTTATGTTTTCCAGGTCACTTTTCTTCATTCAATTGTCTCTTTCTGATTCTGAGTATAAGTGTTCATTTTATTGCCATATTTCTTCAGACACCCTTGTTACTTACTCGCTCCATCCACGGAATTCTCAGTATCCTTCTGTATTTCTTTTGCTTTCAGATTTCTTCTCGTCCGTGGGGAGATTGCCCAGCATTTAGAGGATGGATATCACAATGCAGCACCCTTTTCTTTGTTTCTAATGAAACTTTTCCGTTTCTCATCAATTTGCTTCGTTTTTTTTGAATGCATTTTCGCTAGTCCAATGCACATTTTTCATCACTTTCACAAAATTCAGTATCTGTCTATATTTCTGAGATGAGATGTTATGTACGCTATTTACATTATTCGGACTATTGTCCTCATCTTTGTCGCCATATTTATTACAACGTTTCGGCCTTTCAGTATCTATCTATATTTCTGAGATGAGATGTTATGTACACAATTTACATTATTCGGACTATAGTCCTCATCTTTTTTCGCCATATTTATTACAACATTTCGGCCTTTCAGTATCTGTTTATATTTCTGAGATGAGGTGTTATGTACACTTTTTACATTATTCGGACTATTGTCATCTTTGTTGCCATATTTATCATAACGTTTCGGCCTTCTTCAGGTGGTTGGAATGTCGAACTGAACCCTTTATTTCGCTCACTGGTTTAGATTAACTTTTAGATTTATATTATTAGCCTACTGTTCCCAATAAACGTGCGGAAGTGGTGAAAATTAAGCTCGCCAAAAAGAAAAAGGAGTCTATGTGAAATTTTATTTGGAGCAATGAAAACCTTGCCTTCACTGATATAGGCGGGCAAGCTGAGAAAAAGACGGAAATTAATTCAGGAGCCTATGTGAAATTGCTTTTGGACCAATGAAGACTTTGTCTTCACAGAAATTATCCGTTGAAAATACCGAGCCTATGCGAAATCTTTTTTTAAATATTAAATACGGAAAAAAATTAACAATAGAAGAGTGTCTGAAGTCATGTGAAAAGTTTCGTTTCTGTTCACCCGTCCGGCGTTTAATTTTTCTCCCGTGACAAATTAATTACTCGGCAATTATATTATCAGCCTTAACTGAGCACTTGGCACTTCAAAGAACTTTATTCTAATAATTCAAGAAAACTCTTTTCATCTACTTTTGAGCGTATGCAACCGTATATCCCTTCTGGGAATAACAAACTCTCTTACCTTTGTTTTGAACATTTTTGAATATTATTTGGTGTCAGATCATTTAATCTGTTGTATGAACATTTCCTCTTCATTATAATTATTTGAAACTACGGACTTTAAAAATTTCTGATATATATTCCTGAAAAGAGTTACTGACCCAACTTAAGTTTGTTATATGCCATGTGTGATACACGCTTAGGCAATCATGTATCTTTCAATACATGACTGACGAGGCAGATTTTTTCTCGCAGTAGGTTGCCATTTTATTCCAGTTGTCATCCAAGGGTATAGAACCCGGTCTGTTTACCCATATCTGGGGGAAGATGAAGAGGATTCATATGTTGTAATAAATATGGCGAAAAAAGATGAGGACTATAGTCCGAATAATGTAAATTGTGTACATAACATCTCATCTCAGAAATATAGATAGATACTGAAAGGCCGAAACGTTGTAATAAATATGGCGACAAAGATGAGGACAATAGTCCGAATAATGTAAATAGCGTACATAACATCTCATCTCATAAATATAGACAGATTCCGAAGTGCTATAGCACGTAAGTGAATGTAATGTATTTGACTGGAATTCGAACTCGGCTCTCCGATTCCTCAATCCGAGCCGCTATCCATTACTCCACAACATCAAGTGTGTAAATTCGTAAATAAATTCCTTATCTTGCTTTGTTTCCTCGTCATTATTACCTTTCAATAACCTTCTTGGCGTGGGTAAATCAACTGCTCATTTTAACTCCTAAGCCCGACGCCATTACATGTAATTTAAAAATATTGTTTTTCCTTCTTTTTTCTTTCAGTCCGGTTTTTAATTTTATGAAGACAATTTTCATACAGCAGAATATACGCTAGACACAGGAAGATTAAGGACATCCGGCTGTTACTCAAACCATAACGCGGACCCTCATTTGGACTGATTGACACTATACTCTTGTAACTTGTTTATACCTAAGTCACGAACGTAACAGAAGCTACAAAAGTGCGCAAATATTTACAAGAAAATATTAGGTTCCATTTTATTTACAATGTGTTAGTTGATGGTTAAAATTTATTAGGTTGGTGCAAAAATAATGACGTAATAATGTCATTTTTTGACGTTAAAAAGTACGTCAAAAAACAGCATTATTACGTCATTATTTTTGCACCAACCTAATATAATAACGTTATAACTATACATGCTTAAAAGTTGAAATTTTGCAGATTAATAATTTGGTTATATTATTTTATTTAAAGTGTGTTACTTGAAGGTTAAAATTAACTCCTAAGCCCCACGCTTAGGCGATCATGTATCTTTCGATACATGACTGACGAGGCAGATTTTTTCCCGCAGTAGGATGCCATTTCTTTCTGCGGTAGACCAGTTGCTATCCAAGGCTATAGAACCCGGTCTGTCCCGCTATTTACCCATAGCTGGTGGGGGGGGGTGTTATGAAAAGGATTCATACCTTTCCCAAGGGTATTAGTACGTAAGTGAATGTAATGGATTCGACTGGAATTCGAAATCATTCATCTTGTAAAAGATCAATATGTAAATTAAAAGTTGGCAACAGATAACCCACAAGTACCCAATTTCATCATTATTTTTATCTGGACATATTTTTTTTTTAAATACAATGTCCCTTCGGGGCGGATGTTATGATGACTCAGCAGAATTTGATTTTCTTTATGTGAGCTGTCATCATTTCTTTTGAAAGATAGAGGAGTGGTTTCCTTTGCTTACTCCACGATTTTGAATCGTCTCTCGACTGAACAACGTGTTAAAAATTGATAGTTATTCGCAATATGCCAATTAAATGGCGTTTTCTGTGCTTTTGAAGGTGAATCAGTGCACTGAATTACGTTTACTCGGAATTATAAAAAAAAATATGTATATATAAATTCGAATATCCAACGGCGACCTTGGGAGCGATGCGCGTCGTCGCTGGGAATAAAAAATGAGAAAATTATCTTTTTTAAAGATATTTTTTATACTTATTTTCAGTTTTATTATCTACAAAAACTATAAAAATGATATTTTATATATTTTTTTTTTTTACATTTTAAAAAAAATAAAGAAACACAATTTTAGAGTTCTTAAATTTAAGATTTTAATCAATATGATACTCCTTGGAACATTCCACGCACAATGGGTTTGTGCATTCTTTGCACCAAATTGTCACCATTTCTGACATCTTTTCTCTTCGAGAAGTATACGTGACACTATTTTTGGCTTGTTCTTCCAGCATCATTAGCAAGCCAATAATTCATGAAATTAATGAATCCTCATAAACAGTAACAAAATGAATCCTAGAGTCACCAATTAGTCATTTGGAATGAATATATAAAACGCCATCAGAAGGCATAATCCCATCAGAAGGCATAATCCCATCAGAAGGAAAATACCACCAAAATACTTGCGGACGTAGTTGTAGACCTACAACCTGTTATTTTTGGACCATTTAGGAAATAACAATATTAACTCCTTTCACCATTCCCGCAAATTCGAGAAAAAAATTTTCGCGAGCCAGTATGAAATTATTTTTTAACCAATTTACAAAAGTTCACACCTCTATGTAAAATTAGATTTTGGACATTCTTCACGAATATAAAAATAGAAGCATACTGCTTGTCAGGGTTCAAAACAGTTTCGGAGGCCAGTTTGATCTACACTTGCGTACACCCACACCAGGGCCGGATTTAGATAAATGGAGACCCTATACTATTCGACTTGTGAGGCCCTTCCAAATCTCGCATTCTCACGAGCAGAGGAAAATGGAAGAGTGTTAAATTAAATGATTTGAGTAAAGCCGAGGATGATGACCGCTGTTTAAAATTGCTGAAGGGTTGTTTAGATCTACAATGCATTATGATAACATGTGCAAGAAAGGCCTATGACAGTGTCAAAAATATTATACACTTTGGCTGGAGGACCCCTAGATTTTGAGGCCCTAAATTTCATTCAGCCTGCTAAGCCTATATGCGTATAATAGAAGATGACAGTCAGCATGCCGCCGACTAAGACCTTGTCTACGAACTCACAAACACATTAGACTGACCGTTTGTCCATACATCTTAGATAGCACTAAGAACATCTAATTACTTTGTAGGAATACAGAAGGCGCTTATCTCGCTTTGGTGGAAGATAAGCCCCGTGGTCACATGACGACCGTTTCATGACATTACTCCATACAGTGACCCAAGGCGGGAGTCGAATTACAGTTCGTGAATAGCAACCAAACGAGGCTGCTGGTTTCTTCTAGCCTGGGCCTTTAGCCGAGGCTGAGGCTTAATATGCCTCCCTAGTTTCCCTTAAAAACATAGATGGATCCGACCCATTAAAATCTGGAGTCCTAAAAATGGCTTCTGCAGGTCAGGAATATCTCCAAGTTAGTAAATAAGACCTTTCCTTTTTGTTCCTCCTTATACTTTACTGTTGGATATATGTGATATACAGTTCTCACGTGGGACAATTTGTATATATGTATATATATGGTTTTGTGTATGTCCTAGTATATAAAAGTCTCTTTGAGGACAAATTTGGGAAATTTGTCCCGGTTTTCCCACATGAAAGGGTTATGGTTAAACGTGACAATTAATAAAAGCAACAACGTCTTGAAAGATTAGAGCTGACAATTCTCTCTTTTAGGTGGAAGAATAAAGACACAAACTCCTGCTCGGGGTGTAACACAGAAGAAGAAAATGTTTATTACATACACACAAAAAAGGTAAAGGTATATACACAAATATGAGAGAAAGAAAGGGCGAAGAAAATTCCTTTAACTTAAAGGAAGAAAAAATGTTCATTTAGTCTTGCTCAAAATATTTCTCTGAGCGCCTAAAAGTTCTTTAAGCGAGTAGATTTTTCTTAAGGGGCTTAACACTTACATAGACTTCTTTAGGGCGCTTTTGAGGAGGAAACTGTCGAAAGACATGGATTTTGTAGATGAGTGGGTGCGTAGGTCGACGATAGGAATTTTCTATATGCAAAGAAACTGATCTCATTTAGTTTTAGTAGTGGACCGACGTTCTGTCTTTACAGCCCAGCAGGTAGATCTCTTTAATGAAAGTGGTTCCGAAGATGACTGATGTTCTATCGCCGATCTGATATTATCACAGACGCTGTCAAGTACTCACTGTCAAAGAGGCGCTTATTCTCCGTATTTATAGAGATTCGGAGGCATAGAAATATGGGGAACTTTTCCCTCCAAAATTGCTTTACAATTCCCTGGCCCTCTCATTCGTTAGAAAATATATTATCTCTGATAAGAATCAAGGTTTTGGGAGCTCCTTTTTGGAAGCAAGTGTCCGACAAGTTGTGAGCGTTACCCCCAGTCCTTTATTGCACCATAGTCAGGGTAATGGTGCTCAAATTCCTTTTTATATTTTCCAGCTCTCTCGTACGTCAGAAAATATATCCTTATTTTTGATAAGGAACACGGCTTTGGGAATCGGATTTGAAAGAAGGCTAAAAAGTTGTTGTAAGGATTAGAAAAGCAGCTGGAACGTGAACTTGTAAAACATTGTTCTATTGGTTCTCAAATTAATTCTAATCCAAAGTATGTTTGTCAGTCTTTTTCCTTTCAGCCATCCCGTTCCGTCCTGTCCATGAGCTACGGTGTTGTTATATTGTAGCGAGATCCGCGACGAACGACGGGTCAGCAATAAAAATGTGAAGTATTGTCAATCAGATGTAGCGCACCCCACCACATTTATTTAACTTTGATTAGGAATGACATGAAAAAGGACAAGCAAAGACAGTGAAGGTCACCATCAAATATGGCGGTCACATGCAATTTATATTTGACGTAATATAGCACATAGCAAAAATACAAGACAAAACGTAATGGTTCAAAACATAACATTTGAATTTATTTGTTTTGATGTACATGCATATAAGCTAAAGATTTGATAGATTTGGGAAATATTTGTACCGGAGCTCACGAAGTTGAATTAATTATTAAAATGTAGTTTAGAAGAATAAATTTCCTGTTGCATATTAGGAAATGTGAGTTGGAAAAGTTGGTAGAATTCAGAAGAGTTAAGAGTTCGTACTTGCGTGAATGTTAGTAATGTTCTTTAACGTCTGACCGCAAGGTCAAGACGAGAGCTCTTGAAGGTCACATTTTGGCAGCAAGGAAGGAGACGAAAGAGAAAACGGGGAGAGAAGGCTTACTCGTGTTTTGTTTATATAAAGTGGTGTATCACGTGATAGGCTCCGATTTGATTGGTCGGAATGGACCAATCAGCGAGCTAGTTTTGAGGAGATTAGCCAATGAATGCTTGTCGTATGATCTGTATGTATGTGTGTGTTTGATGGTGATGATAATCACCACAATATCATGGATATAACAATGCCTATAACGAGAGAAACCTAATAGGTGGAATAAATTATTCTTCTCTCGCTCTCGTTACAACTTTATAAAACAAACTTCACTGCAAAGAAAACTGAACATTTTGTTGTTATTGTATATTTCTGAAAAGAATAAATATTATTTCAAATTTTATTTCCACTTTTCCTTCAGAGAATAACCTTTTTTATATATTTAAATAATATTTATTTTTTATATATCTTTCATATATTTAAAAGATGTGTTGTTGCTGTTGTCGGAGTTACCTCCTCTTTAGTTCCCTAATTGTCACTAGGGGTCTCTCTTTCCATACTATAAATACTGGGCGACTTCTTGCCTCGCTCTCTCTTTCCTTCAGGCCTCGTGCCGCATCCCACCTCGCGTGGAGGTGAGGTAAATCCACTTTTTCATTTCAGCGACTACAATGTAAGCTCTCTTAGGAGATAGCGTTTCCCACTTGCGGGAAGACGTCATGAACATAATACACACATACACGTACGTACGAACACTCCTCAAAGGACAAACGTAAATGTTCACACACACATACAAATATTATTGTCTATATCCATTGTAAAATTGTTCTGTTTAATACATATATTTGTTTATATATATATATATATATATATATATATATATGTCTTGTTGTTAAATGTTTGGAATCCCGATAACAGATAACAGCAAAAACCTGGGTTGACGGATCCCGACATTCAGTTAATAGAGTTTGTGTGTGACAAAATTTAGTAAGTGTCTTATTAATTGTTTAATCTTAATGAAGTCCTAATGTCTATTTCTATAAAGAATTGACTTTGCTTTATAGAGTCCTTCGTTAATTGCTGTGAACGTCTCTCTCTCTCTCTCTCTCTCTCTGTCTGACGTAGCCGATTAGAATTGTCTTCTTTATAGAGTGGCTCAAGTTTGCTTTGAACACGCGGGAATTGTCATGATTGGTCCTAAAATTGCTTTCTATATTTTAATTATTTGTTAACACCACCCAAACTAACGTACGGAGTCTATTGACAGAAGACACATTAACACCCACCCCTCATCACCGTGGAAGTGTAGACTTTTCGTTAGGTTCCTTGTCGAAGTCCTTCAATACTATAATTTTATATAAATAGAAGATTTTTTTAAAAACATACTGGAAACGCTGGCTCATTGTAACGATTTTCCAAGCGTAGCTTACATGTGTCACAAGGCCGAAAGTATGGGTCACCCAGTGAGGGTCAAACTCACTACTCAGTCGTAATTGTTCTGGCGAGACAAGTTTGCTAACCATTACACCGCTACGAGGTACCCCTGTCTCATTATAATAATAACTGAAATTTTACCGTAAGTTCTATTTAAATGCAATGTCAATCGTTATCTTCTGTCTTCTTAATTCCCGTTATTTTATGCTCTCTACTTATATTTTTTTTCTCATATTCATTCACACTCGGTAACCCTCTTCGTCTTAGTGGCTTTATTGCCTTGCTTGGAGTGAAATGATTAAAAACGAAAACATTGTGTGTGAGGAACAAAAATTAAGATAAAATAAGTACGAGTCAAGAAGTAGATTATGGAGTAATGGCTAGCGGCTCGGATTTAGGAATTGGAGGTCCGAGTTCGCATTTAAGTAAAATTAATTCCATCTTAATTTCAGAAATAAAGATTGTCCTTTTTTCCTTATATTTTGTTTTTGCTTTTTAATTGTTACTGATGAATTTAAGTATGTTTGGTGTGTATTTAAAGCATACTATATTTGACTATGTGAAATTAGTACTATAATGGCACACAAATCCATTACATTCATTTACGTGCTAATATCCTTGGGAAAGGTATGAATCCTCTACATCTCCCAGCTATGGGTAAATAGCAGGACAGACTGGGTTCTGTAGTCTTGGATGGCAACTGGTCTACCGCAGAAAGAAATGGCAACCTACTGCGGGAAAAAAAAATCTGTCTCGTCAGTCATGTATCACGCAAGGCACATTACTGACTGATCTACCTGTCTACCTTCCTACGTATAGTGTTTGTCACGTTCTAAAAACAAGAACAAATGAAATAAAACTTCACACATTTTAACAGATCAATGGGGTAAAGGAGTTGTAAAGCTCAAAATAAAAGCACCTTTATAGATTTCGTTTCCACCATTTACACTTTTCCTTTCAACTGCGTTTCTTTTCGTTTTTCTTTAGCTTTTTTTACTCCCTACATTTCCGTCTTCATATGTTCTCCAACTAACTCATTGGCGTAGCTAGTGTGTGTGGGGTTGGGGGGTGTTCCGACATGGGCGGCAATTTTACGGGATTGGCACTTTTGTGTCTGCTGTCGGCTATAAGTCTGTATAAGCTGTATTGAAATAAATTTGGTTTTAGTATCTGTCTATATTTCTGAGATGAGGTATTATGTACACTATTTACATTATTCAGACTATTGTCCTCATCTTTGTCGCTATATTTATTACAACGTTTCGGCCGTTGTACGCTCCGGTCTTCTTCAAATTTCATCGATTGGTTTGCCAAATTGAACGAAACGTAGAGTTTGTAAATCTCAAAAATGTTTGCAATAACTTAAACAATACCAAGTACTACGAGGATTTCAACACCCGTAGGCATGTTGCAAAAAATTCTAGTTTAAAAAAATCTTATTACTAATAATTTTTGTTGCTGTTGTTGTTTTTCTTCTTCTCTTCACGAACGAAGATGTTGGAAATTGATCTGTCCAGATTAGCCGCAGTTTTGCTGGTGACAGATTAGTTCAATGCGAGACAGGTAGATTCAGCCACAATAACTACAGGATAAATTTAAGTCTGGGGTAGTTGTTGTGACACAGTTGACATTGTTTTTTTTTTTTACCTCTTTATCCTCTCGTCCAGGTGTGGGGAACCTGCGGATTTCTGGATCATAATGTGCGACTTTCTGCAACTTTTGAGTTGGCCTATGGAGCCAGTTAATTTAGAAAAGTTGGAGCCGGAGTTGAAGTAACCAAAAATGTACTTGCTCCAGATCCCTAAACTAAAATTTCACAATAAATTTTCGTCTTTCTCAGCAATAATTATATTTATCATCCTGAGTTTGTGTTACTGGTGGTAAAACATACATTACTAGTGTAGTTTGAGGTTTCTTCTCTAGTATTAATTTGGAAGCATTATAAGTAAAACTAATAAAACATCACACTAATATTATTTTGCTTGCAACAATAGTCTTCGTTAGTGTCTTAGTGACATGTCTGTTGGCTTCGTCTTCGCTAACTTTTCACCTTTCTCTTACTAACAATTTCAGCTGGATATCTTCGTTTTCTTTTTTCGTGATAAGAAAAATTCGATAAAAATATTTTAAGCAAGAAAAAAAAAAATACGTACTGTATGAAAAAAATTAAATTATTTTTAGCTAGAAAGAAGACCACAAAATTGAAACCATCTTTTATCAGTGTTTATATTTAATTTTTCTTCATACCGTAAGTATAACTATTGTAGAGAGCAACAAATAAAATTTCGCTAGCTTGGATAGCGAAGTTGCCAATTTAAGAAAAGAAATTCGCGACTAGGTGTGAAGTAAATATTCAACCAATGAGAGGACTCGCCTTGGGGAAACTTGAAAAAGAAAGAAATTCTAGAGCTTATGTTAGAAATAAATATTCAACCACTGAGAAGCATCGCTTTTGGGAAATTAGAGAAAAAGAAAAGAAAGAAATTGGTGCGAGAAAATAAACTGGCATATAAACAAATACAAAATGCTGACAACAGACAGAAGACAAAAAAAAAAGGAAAGACTTGGAAACAGAAGGATGCAAATATAACTTAATTTATCTGCTGGCCTTTCAGAACATTGATGGCAAATTTATTTCTACGACTCAACTTACAAAGAAAAACTTCTACTCTGCATGAAGAACTCTAATCAAACTGCTGTAATATAAAAAAAATCGAATTCTATTCCCTTCGAACAGCGGAAAACGCCCTTTGGTAAAATTATACGCCATCTTGCTACCAGCCTACTTACTACTTCTCAATCTGAGAAAGAAAATATTTTCAACATTGACTCTTTTCATCTATGACATTACAAATACTAATCTTACACTTGTAACGGGGTTGATAATGTTGGGTGTAACAGGGTTGATATTAATGACAGATAATAAAATGCATAAACATACAACGATAACAAAAATAAAAAATTGAGACACGTGTTGACATAAACAGTAAGAATTTGTATTTTCCTTTTGTGATGTGAATTACAAAAGATTGATATTCCGTGTATCAGAATGCTCTCAGTGTCTGTTTTGTTTAAAAGTCAGTGCTTACTTGGTTTGGTTCCGAGAATTTCGTTTGTGAGGATGCGTTTGAAATCGTCTGTTTTCGATCTTCCCGGAACACTCGCAGACGTGTGTTTCCGTTCTGCTACTTTTCTACTCGTCTACTCTACTACTGATTACTGCTATGGATACCCTAGTCTACACTACTGTCTTGTGGTGGAAGGCTCGTTTTTATAATGATGAGGGTAGGATGATGTAATATCCTTCTTTCACTGATGGTTATTTTTAAAATAGCGAAATATCCTTATTTTCTATCATCACTGATGGCAAGGTTATTTTTAGAATGATGAAATATCAGTATCATTCTGGACCATAACACACCACTTCAATTAACAACGAACTTTTTTTAACATTATTTGTTCTTTGGAATTTTCACTGAAACATTAAACTTATATTTAACATAATTGTGTTGTACAAAAATGTTGCTAGCATTATATTGTTATTAATAATCAATTATTGATTATATTATTATCAATAATAAGAGATTAACAAAGGCAGAGGTATATTCAATAGAATTTAGATTAATACCCTATGAATAGCAACAAGGAAGATCGAATTCCAGTAAGGTATATCAATCATTACTGTAAGGCTAGCTAGAACTGGCAGCTGGAACTGGAGCCAGACATTTCAAAATGATGGAGCTGGAACCAGTACATTTCAAAATGTTGGAGCCGAAGCCGGAGCCGGAGTTGGAGCTGAAGATTTAGATGTCAGCTCCACAACCCTGCTTTTGAGCTAATAAAGGAATGCATTATAGAAGCCGTAAAATGTTTAGTTTTACAGTTTTTAGTTAACAAATATAAAAATGCGCCTCTTTCAAGAAGGACTAATACAGATCGACAGCATGAATCGGCCAGTAGTGTAACAGAGCAACTCCAAAATATAATAAAAAAAAAGAAAATGTATATTTGTCCTTAGTCTTGGATTAATCGACAGATTCCACTGATCCGGCACAAGTTATATTTCATTCTTGTAATAACTGACGATTTTCAATTATTTGTAGTATTACTTGCTTTAGGGACCCTTAAACGAAAGACAAAATAAATAGATATTTTTAATAATTTCAAAGAGAAATGTCATAAGGTTGGGCTGAAGCTTACTAAATTGGTACGTGTGTGTGCTCCAACTTAAAATGAAGGATTTGTTGGAGTTAGCTCCTCCTTAATTCCCTAATTGTTCACTAGGGGACGTTCTCCTTACACTATAAATACTGGGCGACTTCTTGCTTCGTTCTCTTTTTCATTTCTTCATTTCAGCGAATACATCTACAATGTAAGCTCTCGCAGAAGATAGTGTCTTCCCATTTGTGGAAGACGCCATGAACATTATACACGCATACACGTACATACGAACATTCACCAAAATACAAACTCTTTACGTTCACTCCCAAGCACAGATGTTAATGACTTTGTCACTCGTAAATTTGTTGTTTTAATACAAAATATATATATATATATATATATATATACTACATAAGAGGTCTCATGTTTCAAAACAAGAGCCGAAAACTTCAATATAATCCTTTAAATTAAATTGAGTTGAAATTAAAAAGGCTCCGTTCCATCTTCAAGCGAATTTTTGTTGGAACAACAAAAAATTCGCTTGAAGATGGAACGGAGCCTTTTAATTTCAACTCAATTTAATTTAAAGGATTATATGAAATGAAACATGAGACCTCTTATGTAGCGATTTGGAATCATATTTATATATATATATATATATATATATATATATATATATATATATATATATATATATATAGGTCTTGTTTGTTTTCTTTACATCTTCGGTTGGACTCAACTTGAGTCCGCCATGTTCTTGTAGTTGGACCTTCTTCTGACAGGAAATAAACGCACGTGTTCTTAGTTCAACAACTCCTAACCTACCCGGTCCTCTACAGATTCATTGCCCATCTAAAAAAGAAACCACAGTTCCAGATGCACTGATTTCTTTTCATTGCATTTTGCACCAGCAACATCTTTGTGCAAAATCTGCTATTTTAAATAACACTTTACAAAAGATTGTGAAGTCGAGAAAATCCCATGAGGCATCGTCAGTTCTAAAATATGTTGATGATAGATGACGAATTAATTAGTGTAGATTTGCCCTATCGCTCAAAAATACGCTGGTTATCGCAAGGACACGTATTGGTCAAAATTTTGTCTTTACGAGAGCAAATAATTGACTTTTTCAAAGAAAGTTTTGTGAATTATCAGATATAAAATTTCACAGAGAAACTGCATTTTATGTGTGATGTAATGACAAAGTAAAATGCGATAAATATTTCTTTACAAGGCAGAAATGAATCAATGCATGGTATATGGCAAAAAAATTCTTTAATTCAGAAAGAAGTTATTGTTTTTCTAATCCATTTCTTGCTCAGTCAAAACTTTCAGAACATTTTCCCTACTTGTCGAAAGTAATGAGTGAAAGTGAAAAGAATATCTATGAATCTTTTCAAGAATACCAGTCAGTTTTAGGCTTGTACCGGGACGTAGGTTTACGTGTTGTTAAATCAGGGACACGTGTGTTTATTCCTGCTAGAAGAAGGTTCACTACAAGGACATGGCGGACTCAGAGATTGAATCCACCATAAAGAAAACCAACTAGACCGATATATATATATATATATATATATATATATATATCAACAAATATATGTATTAAACAACAACATTTACAATGGACATAGACATTAACATTTGTGTTTGTGTGTGAACGTAAAGAGTTTGCATTTTGGTGAATGTTCATACGTACGTGTATGTGTGTATAATGTTCTTGGCGTCTGCCACAAATGGGAAGACGCAAATCTTCTGTTAGGGCTTACATTGTAGATGTGTTCGCTGAAAATGAAGAAATGAAAAAGAGAACGAGGCAAGAAATCGCCCAGTATTCATAGTGTAGGAAGAGCGTCTCCGAGTGAAAAATTTGGACAATTAAGGAGAATTTAACTCCGACAGACTCATTAATAGAAGAATACAGCAGAAGATTCAGTGATTTTGAAAAGCATAACGTCACTATGAAACTTTCTTTTCTGCCTCACTTAGTTAACCCATCAGAAGCACTCGAGGAGTTACAAATGGAGCTTATTGAGTTGTCTGAAGATAATAGCCCGAAAACTTTGTTTAACAGCAAAAAAGAGCCTATTGGAATTTGGAAATGAAATGTCGGTAGAATATGCTCGCCTTCGTGAACATGCACGCCAAATCATTTTTTTCTTCAACATACAGTTGTGAATCCATATTCTCGTACTTGACACAAATCGAGAATTCGTTGGGAACGCAGTTGACAGATGAGCATTTGAAGACCACCATGTTAGATCCTGATATCAAAATGCCATCTCAAAAGAAGCAATGTTACGGAAGTCATTAAAAGGTGAATAAAGTATTTGTTTGAACATATTTTGTTTTTTAGTTTTAATATGTTTTTATTAGATTATACATTTATTAAATTCTATTCTATGTATTATTTACTTAAGATATAAAATGTGTAAAAAAAATCACTTAGTGAATGCGGCCTCTATGAAGAGGGATGATAAATTTCAATGTGGCCTTCATGTACAAAAAGGTTCCCCACTCCTGGTATAGTTCATTAAGTCAGCCTGACGTTCGTTCTCTGTGGAAGAGACGGTTCGATGGATAATAAGGCGCCAGGTCTCTTGATTTGCAGCTAGGTCAAGACCATTGACGATGGTCGATGTGACAAGTGCTGAGTGCTTTTTTTTCGTGTTTTTTTAGATCAACAATGGGGTACAGAAAAAGAGGCACAAAGTATTACTATTTATTCTACGAGTGGGATATTTTGCTTCAGTGAACCGTGACTGCTTGGCATAAATGAGTTATTTTCATGAGTTTGAATGTTAGAAAATATATACCTTCATTTTGCTCCGACCAGCACCGAAAAAGTCCTAGATACAATTTTGTTTTCAAAATAGTTAATTGCTGAATAAAAATAAATATTGAAGTAAAATCTATCTTCCTATCTTTCATTCTTTTTATCTATATTCCCCGCCTCCTCACATACTCTCATTGTCACACAGTCTTATTGTCATTGTGTATTTTATTCTTTATTTTATTCATATTATTTTATCTTGCTTTCACTTTTTCTTCCTTTCTTTCTCCCATTTTTCATTCATTTCTCTTACTTTTGTTTTTCTTTGTTTATTTCTACGTTTCGTTTTTCTTTCTTCCTTTCTTTATTTCACACTTTCTTTCTTTCTTTCTTTCTTTCTCTCACACATTCTGTTTTTTCTCTATCGGGTTTTCTTTTTTATTTCTTACATTTTCTTTCTTTCTTTCTTTCTTTCTTTCTTTCTTTTACACATTCTCTATTTCATTTTCATTATCAAATATTCTTTTTTATTTCTCAGTCTTTCTTTTGTTTTTCTTTCTTCCTTTCTTTATCTTTCGCTTTCTTTCTTTCACACATTATTTGTTTCTTTTTCTCTATCAGATTTCTTTATTATTTCTCACTCTCTCTTTCCTTCTTTCTTTCTTTCGTTTTTTCTTCCTTTCTTTATATCACGATTTCTTTCTTTCTTTTTTCTTTCTCTGTTTCTTTTCTCTATCAGACATTAATTTTTGTTTTTCACCCTTTCTTTCTTTCTTTCTTTCTTTTTTCTTTCTTTCTTTCTTTCTTTCTTTCTTTCTTTCACGCTTCCTTTCTTAGTTTCTTTCACACAAAATCAATTTCTTTTTCTCTATCAGATATTCTTTTTTATTTCTCACTCTTTCTTTCCTTCGTTTTTATTTCTTCTTTCTTTATCTCACGTTTTCTTTCTTTCACACTGTTGAGGAGTTCATCCCTTTTTATACAAATGGACTCACCCAGTGTATACTTATACTACTGCCAGTGAATACCCGAAGCGGCTGTTCGGTTCAAGTCGGAGAGGAACCCGAGGAGGCTACACCGAAGGGCGGATTCGAGTGAACCCGTTTATAGGTGCCTAACGGGAAGAGTTAAAAAGGCCTTGTGCCAGGTGAACCCTCGTGGGGGTGGAAGAGTCGATTCGAGTCCAGGACAGGTTGAGGTAACCGGAAGCGTTGTAACAGCGTTGTAGGAGTCACAGTGAGCGAGCACGTAGACTCAGTAAGAAGTCATATGGCGATACTTCAATACAAAACTGTATATATATTTTGCTACTAACCCGTATTCCTGGAACTACTAACCTGCTTTACCAGTTTGTATTATTACGTTAATACCTTATTTTCATATATTTATTCCTGGCGTTTGTTATTTATTGGTACCGGATTTCAACCCGGGATCCACAACAACTTAGCGACGAGGATATCGAACTCACACGGGAAGAACAAAGAAGACAAAATTTCTCCCTCGTCAATTTGGCGACGAGGACTTCGAACTCACAAGGAAAAAAAATTCTCTCTCGTCGACCACAACAACTTTGGCGATGAGGAAATTCGAACTCACACAGGAAGAGTACAAAGAAAAATTCTCCCTTGCCGACCACAACGACTTGGTGTCGAGAAATTGGGACCTACACGGAAAGAAAAATATTCTCGCTTCACACCAAAACAGCTTGGGCGACAAGAATTTGCATTTCTCGGAAACTCAAAAGAGAAAATTGCCGTTTTGCCAGTATCCACAAGAACTGGGTAACAAAGTGTTACGAGGATTAAAATACGGAAAATCGAGTTTTTTTTCGTAAGACCCTTACCATGGAGGATTTTAAAAGGATTTTAGTAGAACTTGTTAAACACCAAAATGAACAACAATTACAATTCCAAGAAAGAATGGAAAAAATATTACTACAAACTCAGAAGGAAAACCATGAAAGACAAATGCAAAATGAAGAAAGACAATTACAACTTCAGGAGCTAATTGTAAAAGTAGCGAGTAATACAAAACAAAATATTGAAAAAGAGGCGACTTTTTCTCAAGACGCAGTATGGAACACGATAGAAACATTCAAATATTCCCTAGAAGAGGATAAAAATTTCGGGGACTTTTTTAGACGTTATGAAGACATCTTCAACATCGATTGTCAAAACTGGACAGAAGCAAAGAAGCTACGACTATTACTCAGGAAATTAGGAACGGAAGAATACACAAAATTTGTGGATTACATTTTGCCAAAGAAGACAAATGATGTAACGTCTGATGAAGCAGTTACATGCCTGACGGAGATTTTCAGCCCGAAAACGTCACTCTTTCGCAAAAGGTATAAATGTCTTAACTTCGTAAAGGATGAAAATGAGGACTACTCCACGTTAGCCGCAATCGTGAATAAACATTGCGACGATTTCAAGTTGGCAGAATTAACTCCAGACAATTTCAAGTGTCTTATTTTTGTACAAGGGTTAGTCTCAGCAAAAGATAGTGAAATGCGCAAAAGAATGCTTTCAAAACTGCAAAATGAACCTGGATTAACACTACAAAAACTATCGGAAGACTGCCAAAAATGTCTGAGTATAAAGAAAGGCTTGAAGGATATTGAGGAGTCAGGAGTATCACATATACGTAAGTTAAACAAAAGTTTACGTTTTTCACCCTCCCCGGAAAGAAAACAAAAATTCTATAATAACGAAAAAAGATTTTCACCCTTCCCGGAAAGAAAACAAAAATTTTATAATAATGTAAAAAGTACAACGTACAGGGCAAATAATGACGAAAATCAAAGTAAATATAAGCCCCCCCCCCCGCCATCTGCATGTTATCGATGTGGAGGACTACACTGGAATAAGGATTGTCGTTTTAAATATAAAAACTGTCTTGCGTGTGGAAAAATGGGTCACAAGGCATCCCAATGTAAGAACAGAAAAATTACTAGTAGGATACTAGAATGCATGACGAAGACAATAATAATATAAGGAAATATGTGGAACTTGAAATCTTAAATAAAAAGGTAAAATTACAACTTGACACAGGGTCAGATCTGACGATAATTAACCTACAAACATGAAGAAAGCTTAATAGAACAACAATGTTATATACACAGAAAATTGCTAAGTCTGTTACAGGAAAGCGTATAAAATTCGAAGGAGAAGTAATCCTAAATGTAAAATTTCACGGGAAAACAAGAAAACTCAAAATGTTCGTAATGAAAGATACAGAAAATCTGGTGGGCACAGACTGGATGCAGAAGTTCGACGTATGGGATTTACCTATCAGCTCTTTTTGTAAAAAGATAGAGTGCCAGCCATCAGAAGCGACAAAGTTAAAGGAAGAATTACATAATCAATTTCCCGAGGTAGTTGCGAGCAGGTTGGGACGATGCAACAAGATTGCAACCAGAATGGAATTAAAAGAAAATGTCCAACCAGTATTTAAAAAGTAGCGGAACGTGCCGTTTGCTACCATAGAGAAAGTCGACAAAGAATTAAAGAGAGCTTTGAAAAAAATAATTAACAGACTAGGAAACATGATGTACACAATACAAGACATATTGACCAAATACAAAAAAGACGGGTTGAAGAGCCAAGCTCGTCAGCCGCTGAAAATGATGATTCGATGGAGGCGATCTTTGAAGATTTTGAGATTCAATGACTACAGGAAGACACAGAAACTAGAAGGTCAAACAGGAAGAGAAAATTTACCGAAACTCTGATTATCGACCATAAGAGAAAAAATACTACCTCCACCAAGAAAAAAGGGATCTAAGGAGGGGGGTGTTGAGGGATCCTCTCCTTTTTATACAAATGGACTCACCCAGTGTATACTTATACTACTGCCAGTGAATACCCGAGAGCAAGACAGTCGAGTCGAGTCGAGTCGAGTCCAGAGTGACAGAGTAAAAGGTTGTAGGTAACCGGAAGAGTGAGGGGTGAGGTAACAGCGTTGTAGGAGTCACAGTGAGCGAGCACGTAGACTCAGTAAGAAGTCATACAGCGATACTTCAATACCAAAGACTGTATATATATTTTGCTACTAACCCGTATTCCTGGAACTACTAAACTGCATTCCCAGTTTGTATTATTACGTTAATAAATTATTTTCATATATTCATTCAAATTGGCGTTTGTTATTTATTGGTACTGGATTTCATTCCGGAATCCACAACACACACATTCTCTGTTTTTTTTATTTATCAGTTATTCTTTCTTTCTTTCTTTCTTTCTTTCTTTCTTTCTTTCTTTCTTTCTTTCTTTCTTTCCATTCATCATTTTCTTCCCCTTTATCTATCCTTATTCTCCCTTTTCTTCCCCACTTTCATCATCTCTGACTAAACAGATTAATGATATGCAGTAAGCCAAAGGGAAATATTAGTAAAAAAAGATAAAACAGAGTTCATATCTGTCTATTATTTCTTTGAAATGAAGTATTATGCTTATTTACATTATTCGGACTGTTATCCTCATCTTCAGTGACATATTCACAACGTTTCGGCCGTTATACGCTCCGGCCTTCTTCAGATGATTAGAATTCCGAATCGAACCTTTTATTTCGCCCACCGGGAGTAGATTGTTCTAGTTCTACGTGTCATGCCTCTTCCGGATGTCTCAGTTATTTACCTTTAACTCAACTCACCCTGTGTGCATGTATATATATATATATATATATATATATATATATATATATATATATATATATATATATATGTATGTGTGTGTGTGTGTGTGTGTGTGTGTTTGTGTGTACAGAAAACAAACAAACAAAGAAAGAAAGAAAGAAATAATTAATATACGTAAAAGGTTTGTCAGCTGGTTGATGTTGCCTTCAGCATCCCGACTCCAGAGTTTCGTTGATGGACCCGTGCGTCCTCTGGTCAAGGTGTATCAGCAATTGACTGTTTAAAGAGTTAATAGATTTTTTATTTTTAATCCGACATATTTTATTACTTCCAACGTTATTTTTTGGGATACCCATATTCGTATTTTCCCGTTTTTTAAACAGTATTTATTTCGTCTACCGACTCACCCACCCCAAGAAAACTTCAAACTTGCGTCTTAATTTGTAGGAAAAAAAAAACACTGTCTGATTCGGCCTGCTTTAGACTACTTGAGTACTGCACAGCCAAGAAGAGTTCTATTTGTCGCCTCATTCAGACTTTTTCTCGAAAGTCATATCTGCTGTGTTCTGTATCCGAAATGTAGACAAAAAAAATGTTCAGGCTTGTAGACGAAATAAACATTTTTTATAAAACGAGACATTCCACTCAAATACGCCTATCCTCTAAAATAACGTTTGAAGTAATATACAGGGTGTCCCAAAAATATATCCACGCTTTAAATAATTATAAAGAACGAATTAAATAGTGAATTTGAGAGGATTAAAATAAAAAGAAATAGACATAATATTTTCAGATTATTAAACCAAACATGCTTGAATGAAGATATGCTGCCTATACACATATGTAGATAAATAAAGACGAAAGGAAAACTTATCTGAGCCTACGCGTTTTGTTCTCTGAGGGATTTGGGACGTTGTCAAGGAAAATACATGGATTTTATTTTGTCAGAAGTAATCGTATCAAAAATGTTATTGGTGTTACAAACTGTTTAAATTTAAGAATGCACATAAATATTTATCAGGTTAGCCGAAAAACTATGGAAGACGCCAAGTGACACAATTCAATGTCTAATAAACGAAAGTGAGTAAATGATGTTCTTGATTTTAAAAAAATGCAAACTGGTATTTAAATTAATTTAGTTTGGGATTTAATTTATGTGTTATATATTTTAAATAGCACGAATTTATAAATTTAACAGTTTTTATTTAATTTTTTAACATTTTTATAATCATGTCTGTTAGCC